CGCGTGTGTGTGTATGTGTACCTGGGACCAAATGTCCCCACAAAGATAGTAATGCCAGAAAATTTTGAATCAGCGTTTTTGAACACAAGTTAAACTATTCAATGACTAAATTTACCATTTTGCCACAAACTACTGGCGCAACAATAGTTTGCATGCTTTTGCACTATTCTATTCCATTTAGTAGTAATAAACAGTGTAAGCAGTGCATTCTTGGAACACTGCTTGACCAATCAGGCTAGACGATTGAAACTAAATATTGTATACCACGGAGTACACTACTGTTCAAAAGTTTGTGGTCAGTGAGTTTGAAAATTCAGCTTTATCTGTAAGTGTGCTTATGGCTATTTATTTATTTATTTTTTGTGCTCATGTTTAGAGGAATAACAGAGCTGTCTTAAATCTACCACATTGTGCTTTGGGCAACTGCTACTATAGCCCAAGGACATACCTGTGATCCAGACAGTTCAAAACCTCTTTGAAATATTCAATATAGAATTCGGTACAACCCTGCCGCTGCTTTATAAATCAGATCAGGGAGCGAGTTAACAATACTGTTTGTTCATTGTGTTTATACATTCTGCTATGAAGTACAATGTTTGAACATTTAAAGGGCCCCAGCTGTGGTAGCATATGAGAACAATGCATATTATCAAATCCTTTACATTTGTAAAAAAAAAAAAAAGTGTGTACTTTATAAAACACTCATAACGCATTCAGACTTTCTTCGAGCACACATGTTTGTATTCTCTGTTAGAAATGCAGTATTTAGTTACCAATAAGGCAGCTGGAATGCAATTTAAAGTAATACACAAGCTTCAGATCTCTCCAGTGAAACGTCACAAGATCAATAATACATTTTCAAAGATATGTGTTAAGTCTAAAATGGAAGACAGTACATATTTTCATTGTATTTTTGACTGCTTTCATATTAAAGCATTCTGGTCGGATGTTGTTCAAGAAATTAATAACATATCGTGAATCTCTCTGGACCTTGACACACTGGTCTGTATTTTAGAGATTCTTTCGTACAACACCTGGAGCTCTTCTAAGATCCAGTTGCTCAAAAATGGTATTATTTACTGCTGCAGTGGACTTCTGAAAAAAAATGAAAAAAACACCAACAAAGACACATTGGACTAAGAGTGTATTGGACATTATGCCATTTCAAGCCTTGAGTTTTTTTTTGCTTTAAAACAAGCCATTTCTGTTCTACAAAACTTGGGACCCTTTTTTCTCCCACTCGGGAGACAGTTTGAGTTGGATGTTGAAGAATGGACTGCGTGGCATTGCATAGACCGAGTTGAGATGAACATGATATTAATAGGTGGCTTTTTTTTTTTTTGAATGAATTTATTTACTATTATCCTTACTATTTTTGTCTTTTCCTGGCAATTGCTTTGCTCTCGACTTTGACAGTATGATTGTTTTACTACGACCCCTTTGAAGAAGACTGTTATTAATGTATGTTTTTGTTTTGTTGTTGCTCTTCTTGCAAATATGGAAAAAAAGAAACTAGATAAAAGAAGAAGAAGAAGAAGAAAAAGAAATGCAGCATTTGTCAGGAAGTCAGCATGCAGGCTTTTATCTTACCAACATCCACCACTAGATGGAAGCATATACTCTGCAATACACCTACCTCAGCGGGAGCTCAATGGTCCCTGAATGAACATGGACACAATTCGAGTGATTCTTGTCTTGTCAAACTGCATCTCTCTCTCTCTCTCTCTCTCTCTCTCTCTCTCTCTCTCTCACACACACACACACACACACACAC